TAAGATCAGCACACTAAATCAAAACACAGATCATACTTTGCAGCGATCATCCGGAGCGAAACATTGTATTTTAGGCCACTAAATTGCAGTGGCAGCTAGGGGTGTACAACTCCTCTAGAGCAGTTTTGAGTGAAGATCTCATAAGTAGTGATTCAAGTTGCAGTTTATTGGCAATAGCATTCCAGACCCTGTGGGCATCAATAGCAAAGGCCCTTCCTCCTCCAGTATTTGTACGGCAATAGGGAATGTGAAGCTGGTAAATGAGCGAAGACCTTAGGTCAAATTTGTTCTTTGAAACAGAGAGGAGATCCAGCAGGTAATCTGCGGATTTCTTTGTAAGTACATCATGAATGAATAAGATCTGATGCACAAGCCGTCGAACATTGAGAGATGTTAAGTTTGACCCAATGTAGAGATCACAGTGGTGAGTCCTATATGGGCAGTTCAATGCAAATCTTAAGGCCGAGTGATACATTGAGTCAAGCTTCTTCCATACAGTACTTGGGGCTGATTTATACACAATGTCACAGTAATCAAGTAGAGGCAGTATGGTAGCTTTTATCAATTCCAAACGGAACATAGGGGGGAAGCAGTGCTTGTGTCGATACAGAAAAACAATTTTTATTTTTGTCTTTTTACCAATATAATCAATGTCTCATAGTATTTGTGTGAATTAAATTACACAAACATTATAAGACTCCCTCTCCTCCCCCAACCAACACTTGTTTACATTTAATTAAAGTGCTGAAGAAGGGGCATTAAGTGCGTCCTAAAATCCGGAAAATACGTCGTAGCTTATTTACTAAACAACAACCCGGCAATGTTTCCTGGATGGAGTCTTATAAAGTCGAGTTGTTGCTTCAATCTCATCCAGGATGCAATTGTTGAGTCGTCCCACTCTGCGGCTTCTAGGGGGAGGGGCGGGATGGGGGGGGAGGGTGCGGGGGGATAGGGGAGGTGGGGGGGATGGGGGAGGGAGTGGGGGGGATGGGGGAGGGAGTGGGGGGATGAGGGAGGGAGTAGGGGGATGGGGGAGGGAGTGGGGGGATGGGGGAGGGAGTGGGGGAGGGTGTGGGGGGGATGGGGGAGGGAGGGAAGGGGGTGGGGGGGATGGGGGAGGGAGTGGGGGGATGGGGGAGGGAGTGGGGGGATGAGGGAGGGAGGGGGATGGGGAGGGAGTGGGGATGGGGGAGGGAGTGGGGGAGGGTGTGGGGGGATGGGGGAGGGAGTGGGGGAGGGTGTGGGGGGGATGAGGGAGGGAGGGAAGGGGGTGGGGAGGGGGTGGGGGAGGGTGTGGGGGGTGAGGGAGGGAGTGGGGGGATGGGGGAGGGAGTGAGGGAGGGTGTGGGGGGGATGAGGGAGGGAGGGAAGGGGGTGGGGGGAATGGGGGAGGGAGTGGGGGGATGAGGGAGGGAGGGTGTGGGGGGTGGGGGAGGGTGTGGGGGGAGTAATCAATAATAGTAATTTATGTCCCCACTGTAGTGTGCAAGCTATGTGCGTGTCTGGGCTATTGAATCGGAAGCCCATTCATTGCGTCTGTGTTATACACAGTCTGTGTTATACACACCGTCTGTGTGTTATACACACAGTCTGTGTGTTATACACAATGTGTTAGTGTGACTGTGTTATACACAGTGTGTGTGTGAGGGGGTGGGTGGCCAGCACCACGCCCGGCCGCCTTTGTCTCCCCAGCGGCGATGTTGACACACCGCACCAGGTACTCATTTGAGGCTGAGTCGACCTAGGGGAGGCCCAGGACCGGTTCGAACTCGGGTCGCCAGGTTCGTAGCGCAGCGTAGCGCTGACCACTACACTACCGCTCCCCACTGGGTGAAACACACGGAGACACACAGGGTGTGAGACACACACACAGTGAGACACACACACAGTGAGACACACACACAGTGAGACACACACAGTGAGACACACACACAGTGAGACACACACAGAGTGAGACACATAGGGTGAGACACACATACACAGAGTGAGACACACACAGGGTGAGACACACACAGAGTGAGACACACACAGGGTGAGACACACACAGAGTGAGACACACACACAGTGAGACACACACACAGTGAGACACACACAGTGAGACACACACACAGTGAGACACACAGAGTGAGACACACAGGGTGAGACACACATACACAGAGTGAGACACACACAGAGTGAGACACACACAGAGTGAGACACACACAGGGTGAGACACACACAGAGTGACACACACACACAGTGAGACACACACAGGGTGAGACACACACAGACTGAGACACACATACACAGAGTGAGACACACACAGGGTGAGACACACACAGAGTGAGACACACACAGGGTGAGACACACACAGAGTGAGACACACACACAGTGAGACACACACAGGGTGAGACACACAGAGTGAGACACACACAGTGAGACACACACAGGGTGAGACACACACAGGGTGAGACACACACAGAGTGACACACACACACAGTGAGACACACACAGGGTGAGACACACACAGACTGAGACACACATACACAGAGTGAGACACACACAGGGTGAGACACACACAGAGTGAGACACACACAGGGTGAGACACACACAGAGTGAGACACACACACAGTGAGACACACACAGAGTGAGACACACAGAGTGAGACACACACAGTGAGACACACACAGGGTGAGACACACAGGGTGAGACACACACAGAGTGAGACACACAGAGTGAGACACACACAGGGTGAGAGACACACAGGGTGAGAGACACACATACACAGGGTGAGACACACAGTGAGACACACACAGAGTGAGACACACACAGTGAGACATAGAGTGAGACACACACAAAGGGTGAGAGACACACACACACAGGGTGAGAGACACACACAGGGTGAGACACACACACAGGGTGACACACACACACAGGGTGAGAGACACACACACACAGGGTGAGAGACACACACACACAGGGTGAGACACACACAGAGGGTGACACACACACAGTGAGACACACACACACACAGGGTGAGAGACACACACAGGGTGACAGACACACACACACAGGGTGTGACACACAGTGAGACACACACAGGGTGACACACACACAGAGGGTGACACACACACAGGGTGACACACACACAGGGTGAGAGACACACACAGGGTGACACACACACACAGTGAGACACACACACAGGGTGAGAGACACACACACAGGGTGACACACACACACAGGGTGACACACACACGGGGTGACACACACAGGGTGACACACACACAGGGTGACACACACACAGTGAGACACACACACAGGGTGAGAGACACACACACAGGGTGACACACACACACACAGTGAGACACACACACAGAGTGAGACACACACACAGGGTGAGAGACACACACACAGGGTGACACACATACACAGGGTGACACACACACAGTGAGACACACACACACAGGGTGAGAGACACACACAGGGTGAGAGACACACACACAGGGTGACACACACACACAGGGTGAGAGACACACACAGTGAGACACACACACAGGGTGAAAGACACACACAGGGTGAGAGACACACACACAGGGTGACACACACACACAGGGTGAGAGACACACAGTGAGACACACACAGGGTGAAAGACACACACACAGGGTGAGAGACACACACACAGGGTGACACACACACACAGGGTGAGAGACACACAGTGAGTCACACACAGGGTGAAAGACACACACACAGGGTGAGAGACACACACAGTGAGACACACAGAGTGAGACACACACACAGTGAGACACACACAGGGTGACACACACACACACAGGGTGACACACACACACACAGGGTGTGAGACACACACACAGAGTGAGACACACAGGGTGAGAGCCACACACAGTGAGACACACACAGAGTGAGACACACACAGGGTGACACACACACACACAGGGTGTGAGACACACACAAAGTGAGACACACACAGGGTGAGAGACACAGGGTGTGTGACACACACAAGATACTGTACATACACAAGGTACTGTACACACACAAGGTACTGTACACACACTAGGTGCTATACACACACAAGGTACTGTACATACACAAGGTACTGTACACACAATGTACTGTACAAATACTGTACACACACTAGGTACTGTACATACACACTAGGTACTGTACACACAAGGTACACAAAGGCAAAGATCCCCCGTGTAGCCTTCACAGACTGTTGGGCCAAGAGCTGTCAACGAGCACCAATTGAGGCCGGCACGACACACGAGGGGGGTGGGTGGCCAGCACCACAGTGACGATGTTTTAGACGCCGCATCGGATACTCGTTTGAGGCCGAGTCGACCTAGGGGGAGGGCTGCTGCCCGAGGTCCGTAGCGGCGCCGCAGTGCGGCAACCACTGCGCCACCGCTCCACCGAAACAAAGACAAAGATCCCCCGTGTAGCCCTGACAGACTGCTGGGGCAAGTGCTGTTAGCGAGCAGCGGGACACGGACACACAGAGAGAGAGACACGTGGGGAGAGCGTGGGGAGTGGGGGTGGAGAGGGGAGAGAGAGTGTGAGAGAGTGTGATAGAGAGAGAGTGTGGGGGAGTGTATGAGAGAGAGAGGGGGGAGATAGAGGGGAGAGAGTGTATGATAGAGAGCGTGGGGGGGGGATGGAGAGGGGATAGAGAGAGAGTGTGAGAGAGAGGGGAGAGAGTGGGGAGAGAGAGTGTGTGTATGATAGAGAGAGTGTGTGGGGGAGTGTACGAGAGTGTGTGTATGATAGAGAGTGTGGGGGAGAGTGTGTGGGGGGGAGAGAGTGTGGGGGAAAGGGGATAGAGAGGGGAGAGAGTGTGTGTGAGAGTGTGTGAGAGAGTGTGTGTGTGATAGAGAGTGTGTATGAGAGAGTGTGGGGGGGAGTGTGTGTGTGAGAGTGTGGGGGGGAGTGTATGAGAGAGAGAGAGAGTGGAGGGGGGCGTGGCGTCGGCCTCGGCTTCGACAGCATTTGGGGATCGTCTCTGGCAGGGCCCCCACCCCCCCAGTGCCACACACACAGAGACACACACAGTCAGCCACAGACACAGAGACACACACAGTCACACACAGACAGCCACAGAGACACACAGACACTGAGACCACTGCTGCTGCTGCTGCTCACGTCGTGATGGGCCACTGCTGCACGCTGACACACAACGTGGGCTACCACATACATGACACACACGTGTAGTCGTAGCTAACACACACACTGACACGCGTCGTGGGCTACTACATACATGACACAGCACGTGTAACAGCAGCACACACACGTGTCACAGCAGCACACACGTGTGTCACAGCAGCACACACGTGTCACAGCACACACACGTGTGTAACAGCACACACACGTGTGTAACAGCACACACACACACACGTGTGTGTAACAACACTCGCACACGACGCATGTTTATAAAGTTGCACGCAACTTGCCAGCTGTCACGGGAGACTAAATGAAGTCAAGGGCGCAAGCTGTTCCCCAGGACTAACTACACGGCTATGGTACGTGCTGTGTGTGTGTACACGGGCTGTGTGTGTGTGTACACGTGCTGTGTGTGTGTGTAGTGTGTGTGTGTGCACAGGCTGTGTGTAGTGTGCTGTGTGTGTGTGTACACTGGCTGTGTGTAGTGTGCTGTGTGTGTGTAGTGTGTGTGTGTGCACAGGCTGTGTGTAGTGTGCTGTGTGTGTGTGTGTACACTGGCTGTGTGTAGTGTGCTGTGTGTGTGTACACGTGCTGTGTGTGTGTAGTGTGTGTGTGTACACAGGCTGTGTGTAGTGTGTGCTGTGTGTGTGTGTCAGCTATGCCATGTGTTGGTGATGTGTGTACACAGGCTATGTATTATGTGTAGTGTGTGTGTCAGCTATGCCATGTGTTGGTGATGTGTGTACACAGGCTGTGTGTAGTGTGTGCTGTGTGTGTGTGTCAGCTATGCCATGTGTTGGTGATGTGTGTACACAGGCTATGTATTGTGTGTAGTGTGTGTGTGTGATAGCTATGCCATGTGTTGGTGATGTGTGTACACAGGCTGTGTGTAGTGTGTGCTGTGTGTGTGTGTCAGCTATGCCATGTGTTGGTGATGTGTGTACACAGGCTATGTATTGTGTGTAGTGTGCTGTGTGTGTGTCAGCTATGCCATGTGTTGGTGATGTGTGTACACAGGCTGTGTGTAGTGTGTGCTGTGTGTGTGTGTGTCAGCTATGCCATGTGTTGGTGATGTGTGTACACAGGCTATGTATTATGTGTAGTGTGTGTGTGTCAGCTATGCCATGTGTTGGTGATGTGTGTACACAGGCTGTGTGTAGTGTGTGCTGTGTGTGTGTGTCAGCTATGCCATGTGTTGGTGATGTGTGTACACAGGCTATGTATTGTGTGTAGTGTGTGTGTGTGTGATAGCTATGCCATGTGTTGGTGATGTGTGTACACAGGCTGTGTGTAGTGTGTGCTGTGTGTGTGTGTCAGCTATGCCATGTGTTGGTGATGTGTGTACACAGGCTATGTATTGTGTGTAGTGTGCTGTGTGTGTGTCAGCTATGCCATGTGTTGGTGATGTCTGTACACAAGCTGTGTGTAGTGTGTGCTGTGTGTGTGTGTCAGCTATGCCATGTGTTGGTGATGTGTGTACACAGGCTATGTATTGTGTGCTGTGTGTGTGTGTCAGCTATGCCATGTGTTGGTGATGTGTGTACACTGGCTGTGTATTATGTGTAGTGTGTGTGTGTCAGCTATGCCGTGTGTTGGTGATGTGACTGCAGGCGGTGTGCTATGTATAGCAGCAGTATGTCTAGACTGGATTGCGTATTCTGTGCTGTGTCAGATATAAATTCCATGCCTTAATCATGTTTACGACTGGCTGTAGATAATGTATAATGTGCTGTGTGTGTGTCAGCTATGCCCTGTTAATACTATGGCTATACACAGGCTATTTATATTGTACTTTGATAGCTGCCCCGTGTGTTGATGCTGGGTGTTAACTTTACAGTGTTACACGACACGTTCAGCTGTATTCTCTAGCTATGTATTGTTGGGTGCTGGCTATGTGGTTAACTACATGACGTGTTGTAGTATTGTGTCCACATCTCTAGTTCACATTGATCAGCTGTGTCCACGAGCCAGTGCTGTTAGCTATCCTGTGTTAGTCCCCGTGTACCAGCTACGTGTGTTATACTATGTTGCTCTGTGTGCTGCTATGTTCAGTATCCTGGCTATGTGGTGCTGTTGTTAGCTGTGTCACATTCAGATCTAGTTACCGGCTGCGTGCTATATATACACACTGTTTAGTGCGTTTCATTTGTTCTGGCTGTGTGTGTTATAGCTACAGTGTGTAATGACTGTGTGTGTTATAGCTACAGTGTGTAGTAGCTGTGTGTGTTATAGTTACAGTGTATAGTGAATGTGTGTGTTATAGCTACAGTGTATAGTAGCTGTGTGTGTTATAGCTACAGTGTATAGTAGCTGTGTGTTATAGCTACAGTGTACAGTGGCTGTGTGTGTTATAGCTACAGTGTATAGTAGCTGTGTGTGTTATAGCTACAGTATACAGTGGCTGTGTGTGTTATAGCTACAGTATATAGTAGCTGTGTGTGTTATAGCTACAGTGTATAGTGACTGTGTGTGTTATAGCTACAGTGTATAGTAGCTGTGTGTGTTATAGCTACAGTGTATAGTGGCTGTGTGTGTTATAGCTACAGTGTATAGTGGCTGTGTGTGTTATAGCTACAGTGTATAGTAGCTGTGTGTGTTATAGCTACAGTATATAGTAGCTGTGCGTGTTATAGCTACAGTATATAGTAGCTGTGTGTGTTATAGCTACAGTGTATAGTGGCTGTGTGTGTTATAGCTACAGTGTGTAGTGGCTGTGTGTGTTATAGCTACAGTGTATAGTGGCTGTGTGTGTTTATAGCTACAGTATATATTAGCTGTGTGTGTTATAGCTACAGTGTGTAGTGGCTGCGTGTGTTATAGCTACAGTGTATAGTGGCTGTGTGTGTTATAGCTACAGTATATAGTGGCTGTGTGTGTTATAGCTACAGTATATAGTAGCTGTGTGTGTTATAGCTACAGTATACAGTGGCTGTGTGTGTTATAGCTACAGTATATAGTAGCTGTGTGTGTTATAGCTACAGTGTATAGTAGCTGTGTGTGTTATAGCTACAGTGTATAGTAGCTGTGTGTGTTATAGCTACAGTGTATAGTGGCTGTGTGTGTTATAGCTACAGTATATAGTAGCTGTGTGTGTTATAGCTACAGTGTATAGTGGCTGTGTGTGTTATAGCTACAGTGTATAGTAGCTGTGTGTGTTATAGCTACAGTATACAGTGGCTGTGTGTGTTATAGCTACAGTATATAGTAGCTGTGTGTGTTATAGCTACAGTATACAGTGGCTGTGTGTGTTATAGCTACAGTGTATAGTGGCTGTGTGTGTAGTGTTAACTGTGTGTGTAGTGTGAACTGTGTGTGCTGTGTGTAGTGTGAACTGTGTGTGCTGTGTGTAGTGTGAACTGTGTGTGCTGTGTGTAGTGTGAACTGTGTGTGTGCTGTGTGTAGTGTTAACTGTGTGTGTGCTGTGTGTAGTGTGAACTGTGTGTGTGCTGTGTGTAGTGTGAACTGTGTGTGTGTGTGTGTAGTGTGAACTGTGTGTGTGCTGTGTGTAGTGTGAACTGTGTGTGTGCTGTGTGTAGTGTGAACTGTGTGTGTGCTGTGTAGTGTGAACTGTGTGTGTGTGTGTAGTGTGAACTGTGTGTGTGCTGTGTGTAGTGTGAACTGTGTGTGTGCTGTGTGTAGTGTGAACTGTGTGTGTGCTGTGTAGTGTTAACTGTGTGTGTGTGTGTAGTGTTAACTGTGTGTGTGTGTGTTGTGTGAACTGTGTGTGTGCTGTGTGTAGTGTGAACTGTGTGTGTGCTGTGTAGTGTGAACTGTGTGTGCTGTGTGTAGTGTGAACTGTGTGTGCTGTGTGTAGTGTGAACTGTGTGTGTGCTGTGTGTAGTGTTAACTGTGTGTGCTGTGTGTAGTGTGAACTGTGTGTGTGCTGTGTGTAGTGTGAACTGTGTGTGTGCTGTGTAGTGTGAACTGTGTGTGCTGTGTGTAGTGTTAACTGTGTGTGTGTGTAGTGTTAACCATGTGTGTGTGTGTGTAGTGTGAACTGTGTGTGCTGTGTGTAGTGTGAACTGTGTGTGTGCTGTGTGTAGTGTGAACTGTGTGTGTGTAGTGTGTGTGTGTGCTGTGTGTAGTGTGAACTGTGTGTGTGCTGTGTGTAGTGTGAACTGTGTGTGCTGTGTGTAGTGTGAACTGTGTGTGTGCTGTGTGTAGTGTGAACTGTGTGTGCTGTGTGTAGTGTGAACTGTGTGCTGTGTGTGTAGTGTGAACTGTGTGCTGTGTGTAGTGAAGTTGTTAAACTGCTGCGTGCTGTGAAGTTCAACATGCTGGCTATACAGAGTATGAAGAGGAGCAGAATATATCCACAGAATGTCCACATACAGTTGTTCAGCATGCTATGCATTCACTGCAGTTCGCCTACAACGATACCTTTACAGTATCGTCATCGTTAGCCATGGGTTTTCCCTCCAGATTTAGACTCAACATCACGCGTTTAGGGTATTTGGCTGCTATGATAAGCCACTTTGTTGAGCTATCATTTGTGGCCAGGTCACTTTTGAAAAAGAGCTATACAGCTCAGTGGAGCCATACCTAGTAAAATGAAAAATTGTAAAGTTTTATTTTGTGTTATATTTTTGTAGATGTCCCATGTTTCTGAAACATTCCATAGCAGGTAGTAGTAGTAGCGGAATGGGCTCAATAAACAACTTCTTCCTTGTGAACATTGGTTTGCTACTTTTCACAATCAAGTTGTACTTTTCCTATGCAACTCCCCGGTAAACATTGAATGTCGGGACCAACGTTGATCCAACGTTCCCTACCACGTGGGAACGTTTGGCAAACGTCGATCCAACGATTTCAACCGCATGCCAACGCTGGGCAAACCTTTACCGAGTCCCAACCTGCCAGAGTCCACCAATTTATTGTCTATCACCGCTGCCAGGACAGCCTTCAATTCGCTTGCTCAGGTTCACACTTCATCACTCTGATGAACACGTAGGCTTTCGCGACCAATATCACCCATGGGTTAGATTCATTATGAACAACATCGCTCTCTCCGCTGTCGCATGCCGGGTTTGTGTTCCACCAAGACAGTCGAACTCCGCTTTTTTCGCCAATTTGCTGTATGTGACCTCTTTGGCTTTTTAACCTCCCATGATGTATCCCGAGCCCGACTTTTGATGAGGTTACAGGAGTAGCTGGTTCATCACCGTTGTCACAAGCCAAATCTCGGGTGATTGGAGGTCTTCTCAATTTATTTCGCCCATCCAGTTTTGGGAAAAAATGTTTTTTCATGCCGCTGCGCCAATAAGTTTGGCAAAAGCGTGCCACGTGGCTTCACAGACTTCCCCTTTTAATCTGCACGCCCCTGCTTCCTGCATGCAATCTTAGAGTCTACAGATACACT